CGGTTCATAACGCTGAGAGCTATGGTGCCTTTCGTCACCAAGATGGACAAAGTCTCCATCCTGGGCGACACCATCGAGTACGTGAAGCAGCTCCGAGCGAGGATTCAGGATCTCGAGGTCCATAGCCGCATCATCGAGACGGAGAAACATAGTCAGAAGCGGATGCGTCCGAGCCGGAAGAACCCAGATTCGTCGGAGATGGTGGAGGTGTCGATCATAGAGAGCGATGCGTTGTTAGAGATGAGATGCGAATACAGGGAAGGGCTGTTGATTGATGTTCTCCAAGTGCTGAGGGAGCTCCGCATAGAGACCACCGCCGTTCATTCTGCCGTCAACGGCGGAGTTTTCACAGCGGAGATTAGGGCTAAGGTTAAGGATACCTTGCGTGGGAAGAAAGTCACCATCATCGACGTTAAACGTGCCATTCGCCAAGTCTTGCCTTAGCAAATATTTATATCCTCTCTCTATATATGTAGTTCATTGTGTAACGGAATTCGCAGTATGCATATGATCATTGAAAAACGGGAAAACTATGTTTGTAGTCCAAAAAGGTACCTGTGTATAACGTTAGCATTGACTCGGAATTCATGCTCCCATGTCATGCTGTACGCAAACTTAGAAAGTGTTATGAATCTTTTGCATTTTGCATGCGATAAACTGCATTGACATTGTGATTGAAAGTGGGGTAGAGAGAGAGAGAGAGAGAGACAAACTGATGCATGGGGCTCATCTGCTTAATGATGCTTTATAAGACTGAAACTTAACGCACCATATGCCCTCCTGTCATTCTTGTTCTGGTCGCCTGCAGATAAGGTATCCGTTGATAACCAGGGGGGGAACACTTTCGATGGATCCTTGTCCAAAGTTGTTTATTCTCAGAGCACAAAGTAGATTGAGAGAATCGCATTGGGTCCTTATGGATTGATTCTCTCCAACAGTTGAGGTGTTTATTATCTGTCTCTCTCTCTTTCTCTTCATTCATCACTTCTTTTGCCAAGCCTGCCTTGGCATCTTGTGCGATATGTGAATTTTGAATCATGGAATGAAATCTTACGGATGTGATTTTGAGAGGAAGGCTGCCAGAGAGTACAGTAATGGTGAAAAGGAGGATATGAGTGCAGTCTAGTCCCAATTTTACCCCTCTTTCAGCATCGTTTGTCGAATCATACCGTTTTTGTGGAGAGAAATGGACGTTAATAGCACGCACGTAGGATGATGAAAGAGTTAGGGATAACATCTCTCAAAGGCCACGAACTTGGGATTATAGGAGGAGGGACATATACATTACGTCTCATACATCTTTATAGAGAAAAGGGCAAAAACACAGTGCAGTTTCTTCTTTCTCTTGTAACCCCACACCACATGCGCTTCTTATTGTTTTGTCCATTATTGTGTTCTATTTCACCAACTTTTTTGCCTTGTAGGATGTCAGTCCAACGTTTCCTCTATATACACAACCGGCCATCAAAATCTGATCCAATCGTGGATCAGCCCTAATCAGTTTTTTTAGTTTAAAATCGTGGACCTATATACAGACATGTAGAATCCACATATTCACATTCACACGTGGAAAATCAGAAATCTAAATAATTGTGTGTTGTACACATACACAGAATGTAGACGGGCCTTATTACCGATCAAGTTACGAGTTTACACAATATCAATGTGTACAGTGTACCACGATATGAAATATACTGTCAATGTCTCTTGACGAAATAGGGACTACGTATACAATTTACAACACACACGCCTTGTTTCTTCTTTCAAAGAAAAGAAACTAACGATTTGCATTTGCAATGTGCAAAACATGCAGAATGAGATGGCAAATAGAGGTCGCGTGGTGTTGTAGAGAAGAGGCGAAAAGGGGGGATGTCTCGTTTGAGAAAATAGCCACAAAGGCTTTCAGACCGTCACATGCCCTTCTTCCATCTATCTTGCAATAACCAAAAAACATATTCTTCTTTTCTTTTTGCACATGCAAATCTCCTAACCTTTTCATGCACTTGGTTCTATCTATAAACGACTTGAAAGTTACATATTGATACACACACACACACACAAAACTTCAGTCCAAATGCATATACAATTTTACATGTTTACTAAAAAGTTTTAACGTCGCATGTTATTTATATTACATGAATAAAGTTGCGATAGTATAATAAATATTAGATTAAATAGGTGTTAGGATGGAATTAGACTAGCTGATTCTCTTTAAGAATTAAACGTATGACATATTTAAATTTCAAAATTAATTAGTAGTGCCCAATAAGTTAATATAAATATTTACACATGAAAAGGTACATATTAATTGTGCAGCAAATATTCGCCATTTTCATGTCACGTTCAACCCATCAAATTCACCTTTTTTTTTTACATTGAAATCCAATTTAATTTGGCCTATAATGCCAATGGCAAAAGCATGCAAACACATCTAGCTAGAAGCCGTTAACGGGTAAACTGTAGCGTCATAGAACATCAGCAAAGGAACCATTCAACGAGAGAGAGAGGGGGGGGGGGGGGAGGACCAAGTCCAATAACGATAATAACTGCCACTAGCAGATTTTACTACTTGGAAAGCAAGGCCACCTAATAACCGAATATAAAACAAACGAAATCAATAATAATACTCCTTAAATTACTAAAAAGGGCATTCGCTTAACGTTCCAAACATATAAAACAACATAAAAATGCTATTATATGGTCTTCCAGGTGGCTCCCGGCCGCCCCCTTAACTTGTCCGTCCGAGTTCCGCACCAAACATTTTCGAGTTTTCATCTTCGGAATCGAAAAGAGGGTCTCTTAGAAGACAAAGCCTAAGCCTCCCTTCGCTTCTCTCCACGTGAAAGCAACAAACAGATGGCGAAACACTCACAGCTTCCAGCAAAAGTCGGCCGCCTTCTCTGCGAGGCCTCACTCTCACGCCGCCTCCCGAACCGCTCATGCTTCTTATCAGCGGAGGAAAAGACCCTTTTCCCCTACTCGCTTTCCCCGCGTCCATCGGCCTCAAAGGTTCCTTCTTGGGGCACGTGTCCTTCCAAAGAAACGGGATTTCCTCAATCGCACTGTTTCCGGTCTCGCTGCCGAGCCCTTCTGTGCACATCTCCAAGCTTCGGTTGCTGAGTTTCCCAGAGGCAGAGCTGACGGGAGGATTGGGGTCTGTTTGCAGGAAACTCCAGGCCCTGGTAATTTCCTCTACTTTTTCACCACTCGCAAAAGCTTCTTGTTCCATGGCAACGTCTGTGGGGATGGCCGGAATAGGGTCTGCGGGCGAAGGGGATCGTGGCCATGGAGCCATCTCGTGCAGCGGAAGGCGCATGTCCACGAACCGCCCTGCCTCCATGCATTGCCGAAGACCTTGACAGACTAATGAAGACGATGACATTTTCTTTTATTTTTTTAAACTGTAATTGCTGGATTATCCAGAATAGAGAGAGCAAACTGCAGAGAGAACGCTCTTACGGAGTGGGCAGTGAAAGCTCAGGACGCGCAAATTCTATTTATAGGAGAAGCTTGGAGGGTTATGGGTAAACTCCAATTATAATTACGTGGTATTTAGTTAATAATGTATTTCGCCTTAACATAATGTCTTTTGGAAATCTGACGTTTTGAAAAAGACATAAAAAATATTATAAAGAAAATGAAAAAAAAAACATATTAAAAAAATGAGAAAGAAGAAGAGAGATCTGATTTTCATAACGTGGAAGAAGTTCATCCACTTGTAAGCGAATGGACTTTGGAGCTGCCGTGACACCTCAATCGGGCCATATCTTTAATTAGGCCCGTTTGTGCTTCTAAGCGTCCAGATGAAAACACGCATAAGCCTGTGATGAAACTAATTGTCTAATAATTTAAGAAATCTACAAGGAACATGACTGCGGGATCGCCGATATCTTCTCCTACTCCTCTTGCTTGATTTTCAGGCCACCTAGTCTTGCTTCCAGTTCGCTTTCATCGTCAATATCTTCTCCATCTGGATCATTATCGTCCAAAGGCCCAAGCTTATCCGGGGAGTCTCTAAATATTCCCTTCACCTCGTCACTGCCTTCCTCTGACACGAAATTCCCATCTATGTTCAACAGCTTAAAATTGGGTCTGTTCACAACGGCTTGCGCCAAAGCCCGTGACCCTGCTCTTCTGATCATGTTGGTGCTCAAGTTGATAACTTGAAGGGATAAGCGATCGGAAAAGAGAGATTTCCTGAATAATTCTCTTGTATTATTCCTTCTGTGATTACATGTATTTATACAGCTAGAAACAGAAATAACAAATTGATAACAAACGCAAGAATGCAAATCGTGTGTCTATCCTAGTCAGCAAATCTAGATAATAAACCGATTTACAAAATGTACAAACCAAACCAAGAGAAACCCGCTCTGGTATAAGCTCTGTACAATCCTCTGTAAGAAACAGAGTATTAGAAGAAGGAGAGAAACCCAGCAACGCAATTGATGAACACTTTCTGATACTCCCCATCAAGATGGGGAGTGTAGATTGGAAATCCCCATCTTGTCCAATAAAATATGAAAGTGATCACCTGCCAACGGTTTAGTAAAAGCATCCGCAATCTGGCTCCGAGAATTAACGTGCATAGACTTCAAAAAACCAGATTTGAGATGCTCCCGAACAAAATGGCAATCAATCTCTATGTGCTTCGTGCGCTCATGATATACCGGATTGTTGGCGATGTGAATGGCAGATTTGCTATCGCAAAATAAGGTGATAGGCTCTGGAAAAGGAATCTGTAATTCGCGAAGCAACCCAGAAATCCAAATAAGTTCAGAGGTAGCTTGCGCCATTGCTCTGTATTCTGACTCAGCACTATTGCGTGAAACTGTTTTCTGCTTCTTAGACTTCCAAGTGATCATCGATCCCCCAATAAACATGCAGAAACCAGTAATTGATCGGCGCGTATCAGCACAAACAGCCCAGTCTGCGTCTGTATAACCACTCAGTCGGATTTGGCTGTCTGATCGATATAAGAGACCTTCAGCAGGGGCTGTTTTGATGTAACGCACCAAACGGAAGGCAGCATGAAGATGATCAAAACGAGGATCAGACATAAATTGGCTGAGTTTCTGAATGGTGAATGAGATATCCGGACGAGTCACTGACAAATAGATGAGCTTTCCAACAAGCATATGATATAGTTTCAGATCAGGCAGAGGTTCACCAGACTCAGAATTCAGATTTACCTTGGGATCCATCGGAGAAGCACTTGGTTTACATGCCATCATTAAGTTTTCTAACAATTCCAGAGCATATTTACGTTGACAAATATGAATCCCATTACGTGATCTGGCTATTTCCAGGCCAAGAAAATATCGAAGAGGGCCCAGGTCCTTCAATAGAAACTGTGAACAAAGATACTCCTTGACTTCCTTAATCATAACATCATTATTCCCAGCAATTAGTAAGTCGTCCACGTAAACAAGGATAGCCACAAAACCAGAATCACAATGCCGAAAAAACAGAGAATTATCAGCTTGTGCTTGACAGAAACCACCAGAAACTAATACCTGGGAGAGTTTAATGTTCCACTGGCGGGATGCCTGCTTGAGACCATAAATCGATTTCTTCAACTTACAGACCGAATCTGTAGCAACTTTCTCCCCCTTGAGCTCAGAATATCCCGGTGATAGTTTCATATA